TATATATATATATATATATATATGAGAAAAAAACAAAAAAACTATCAATCTGTATTTAGCAGCATAGTCAAGTTTTTAAGTTTTTATTTAGCTGTTCTTGTTGAAACATGCCCTTAATTCACTTCCCTCTTTGAGCTTCAATTCCCAGATCCTACACCCTCATAATTAGCATTTCCCTTGACCCGGGTTTCACTGTGAATTTGCATTTTGTGCATCTCTGTTCTTTGTTCTGTGGTGACCTTCAAATTGTACCCTGCAGCAAGAGTGTTGTTGTCATCAGGTCTTCAAAAAACTGCAAATTTTCAAATATTTATGCATTTGTCTTCAAGTAAAAACCTGCTCACTAACCTCTTTCCCTCTCTGCATAGACGGACTACTTCCACCTGTTCCTGTGTGTGGCCATCATTGTTCTCTATGGGGAGGATGTGACGGAACAGCAGCTCGCCACAGACCAAATGTTGCTCCACTTCAGCAACCTCTCCATGCACATGAATGGAGAGCTGGTGCTACGCAAGGTACGCAACAGTAAATATTGCCCTTTATGTCACCTGTGTACACAACAAAGTCAATGACTATCCATTCATTTTAAAACATTTGAATAATTGTTGGTTTATGATCACGCTCGTAGCTGCCTCAGTACATTTAACTCTAATCGGTGTTGTGCTTGCGTCAAGTAGCCGTGCCCGATGCTGCAGCAAAGCAGCTCTGACATACTGTAACCGGCCCACAGAGGCCCTGGGGTGCTAAATGGGATGCTGCCCTGCCATGCAGAGGATTTATGATCTGCATCCCTGCAACTGTGTTAGTCCTCATGTTTATGGATGCTGTGTTAGTACTGCTGCAACCACAGGCAGTGTGTTCACTTTAGCATGCAGCAGATGTAACGCCTTTTGTTGAGGTGTTTGTATCCGATGCACGCCAGCTTTTTAGCTTTAGGTCCCACACTGCTTACCTTGGCATTGTTTTGTTACCAGATTCGAGGGTATTCATTTATTATAATGTATTTATCCACTATACATTTGATAACTGCAACAGACTATTTTGCATTCCCTGACTGTGTTTCTTGTCAATTCAAAGTTCCTTTCACTCCTTCCATATATTTTAGTTCATCTTGCCACTTTTGCCCTGCTCTTACAGGCCCGCAGCCTTCTCTACCAGTTCCGCCTGCTACCCAGAATCCCCTGCAGCCTACATGACCTTTGTAAACTGTGTGGCCCGGGGATGTGGGACAGCCGCTACATCCCCACCGTGGAGTGTTCTGGTGAACACCCAGACTCACAGAGCTGCCCCTATGGAGGCACCTCCACCCCCCAGCCCTCCTCACCCTCCCTGTCCTCCTCACCAAACCCCACCCCCACGCCTCCACCAGAGGGCAAGAAAGGCTCCAAAACCCGGGATATTTTCACCTTCCGGAAACAGTCCTGAGAAGGCTATTGGGGAGCTTTGCTGGTCTTGGCTCACATTGGCAAAGGTTTTGAATCCATCTCCTGGATTCCTGAAATACTTGCCGCCCTCTGACTCCTCTCCCCAAAGTCCCTGCTTCTAGTTTCCCAATCTTGCTGAGGATGTTTGTCGGTTGATCCTTTTCATGAGGTGCAAAGAGGAATACTGCCTTACCAGAGTGATATTTGCAACGTTACAGCGTCACATGAATCCACGATGAGGGCTGTTTGCTGCTGGACGGGGCCAGAAGTCAAAAAAGCTGCTTCTCTCTTTGGGGCAGAATGGACAATCACCAGGCGCTGTGTTGGTCTGGGGCTTCTTCAGGTTTGAGTCTGCTGCTGGCTTGGCATACTTCCAGGGGCTTTGTGGGCAGGGGTCACATCAGGGTCTGAGGCAACCCGGCCTGAAATCGTGCAGACTCTGACCGAGGGTCTAATGAAACTGGAGATTCATTCACAAGGACTTGAACTTGAACTTTTGCAAATGTTGCCGTGTTCTCACAATGGGATATTTGTGTGAATATCAAATTACATGTGCGTATCTCTGAGTCTGAGCAGTACACGTTAAACACGACATCCAAACCTTCTGTGTTAACAAAGAAGGGTTAACCTACAAACAGGATTATAACGAGTTACTGGTACTTTTTAAGTTTTGTTCAATTTCATTTTCAAACAAGTGAATGTTTGCGTTTATATCAGCAGTTACAAATATTTAGCAATACTATATCCTTGCATGAACGATTCTTGACATATAGAGGGCACGACTTGTTTGGAAAACACTAAAAGCCCAAAACAGAAGTAAGAACGTGTTTACACAACAAACACTCGCATCATAGGGCTCTGCTTGTTTCCTCATCGGATTGCGGAAAAGGAGCGTTCTCGTAATTTGTCTCTGTTATAATGGTGTTTCCCGACAGGCGGTAGGAAGCCAGGCATATGTTTCCCTCTGATAAAAGTCCCACAAACACAAATGTTAATTTTACCTGTCGAGCAATAGGAGCTTAAACCATTTACGCAATACCGCCGTAAGATATCATTTAGTGTGAAGCATCGGATGGATATGACGGCGCTGTCTGCCAAAGAAAGCATCGATCATGTTTTTATCCTGACAGGAAAATTGACAGCCTGGTGTTTTACTTGAAGTTTTGTCTTTTTGTGTTGAACCATGTTTACACGGTTGTGAAAAATAGTCGGCACAGTGGGTTTTTGTTTTTTTTGTCTCCAGCGTTCTCTCCACTTTCTCCTTAAAATGGCAACAACGCACTAAGAATCAGTCCACATGAATGTATCTGTTTCTTTTGCTTCCTTTCACTCCACAGTGTGAAAGTGTGTGTGTGTGTGTGTGTGTGTGTGTGTGCGTGTGTATATAAACTGGAGTGACCTCTCAACATCTGGTAATGAGTTAGAGAACAGCCATAGGGCCCCCCCCTGACTAGTCTCTTTAATTATAGCAGTCATCATGGGGAGGAAAAGAGAAGGAAAGTAAAGCTGGCCCTGTGGAGAAAAAAAATAAATAAAGGAGAGATGGAGAGAAACGTGTGAATTAAGCTTTGCACAGGAATCTATAGTGATCTGCATCTTGCCTCTGTGATTTACAAGTCCCAGAGTCAAAGACGGCCTCATCTCTGAGGCTTTTCCCTGAGAGCTTTTGAGTGACACTCCTGGGGCTTAAAACATCTTCAAATTGTTGCTGAAATGTAACATTAAGACCTTCAATCAGCCCCTCCTCCTCCTCTCTCGCTCTGTCTCTCTTGTGGTCTCTCGCTCTCTCACTCAGCAAGCAGTCTCTGCAAATGACATTCATAACTGCTCCTTTTCCCTATTAGTTATCATGTGCTTGCTGGAAATGCCCGCAGAGTTTTGAAGATTGGGTGGCTGATTTAAAAAGAGCAAAGTCAGAGATGCATGATGGGAAAGTAATGTGTGTGTGTGTGTGTGTGTGTGTGTGTGTGTGTGTGTGTGTGTGT